CACAGGTGGGCTGTGGGCACAGGGGGGCTTAGCGCACAGGTGGGCTGCGGGCACAGGTAGGCTGAGGGCACAGGTGGGCTGCGGGCACAGGTGGGCTGAGGGCACAGGTGGGCTGTGGGCACAGGTGGGCTGAGGGCACAGGTGGGCTGAGGGCACAGGTGGGCTGTGGGCACAGGGGGGCTGAGCGCACAGGTGGGCTGAGGGCACAGGTGGGCTGTGGGCACAGGGGGGCTTAGCGCACAGGTGGGCTGTGGGCACAGATGCGCAGGGAGCACCGCCGAACTCGCCGGGTCACCGCGCGGAGGGCAGCTGGCCGCGCACGGAAGGGGCGCCGCACTCACTCGAGCTTCTTGAAGGGCTCGCGGCCGGCCGCCACGTACTTGCCGCCGGCCTGCAGCGCCTGCAGCTCGCGCAGCGGGTGCCCGCGTGTGGGCGTGAAGAGGCGCCGCACGCCGAACGGCACGTCTACCTGCTCGGTCAGCTGCTCCAGCAGCGCCTGGAAGGTGGGCACGCGGCGCCGCGGCACCACCAACCTCCGGCCCACGAAGAACGCATCCCCGTTGCGGTACACCAGAATTGTCTTGGCCGGCGTCGTGTCCACCAGCACGTGTGACCTGCGCGTGCCCATGGCCCCGCCGTCAAAGGGCCGCCGGCCACCGCCCGCTGCGCTCCAGCCACTGGGCACCCAGGGCGTGGGCGCGGGGACCGCGGGGCGGCTCCCCGCCGGTGCTGACGCGATGCGGCGATTGTGACCGCCTGCCTGCCACCTGTTGTCGGGAGGGAAGCCCGCGGGGGGAGGGGGGGTCGGGGGGAGGGGAGGGAAAGGTGAGGGGGCATCCGAAACGGGGGGGGAGGGGGGGCAGGGGGTGAGAACAAGTGAGGGGGCATCCGAGAGCCTAGACAGGTGGGGATGACAGAGCTCTAGTGAGGGGAAGGAGGCAGCCTCTGTGATCTCTCTGCAAAGGTGGCAAGAATGAGAGGCCGGGGACATTCACAGCCACCTTCCCACCGCACTAGCCAACCTCCTATGCAGAAGAGGTTGGGGGATGGGCCAGGAGCGGGGGCCATCAGGACCATCTTAACAATCAAAACCGTGTCCAGGAGGAATTGCATGGACCCATTCAGGGCATGTGAGAAGCCGGGTTACGAGCACAGCTAGCATACAGTGTCCCGAAGGTTTAGCATCCGGAACGCACCTTCACCGGGGAAGAACAATTCAAGGGGATGTGTGTCCTTGTGAACGTCATTCCTTATTCTGGGTAACAACGGGCCCATCCTCTTGAGCTGAGAAGATGAGTGGCTCCAGAAATATGTTTTTCCAGTGGTTTTGATGGGCTTAAACTTTTAAAGACACTAAGCTACAAGTATCACTTACCGAATCTACATGCAGAAGGTACAGAATTCAATTCTGTAAATATCAATATCTTGTAGTGTTTTTTAAAAAAGTGATCTTTAAGAGACCACCTATCTTTCACGACCACAGACAATTTTCACATGACCGAACGCTCCACCGCGATGGTAGATACACGTACCGATGTGTGAGCGTGACCGCTTTATTAAATCACCAGGAATTACGTTGGTCTTAATAAGATCAATTGCCAGAAACCTCTTAAGTTTCAGATGTTAAACACCCTTCAAGAGAAGAGTGCGACGGGGCCACCGCACGGCCGCGCGGAGTCACAGGTTGGCCCGGAAGCCTGCCTTCACGGAGAACCTCATCGTGGGCTTCTCCCGGGGGCGCAGGAGGCAGAGGGAGCTGGGGAAGCCGTTGAGGCGCAGGCGGCTCACGCCCCCATCCGGGGTGATGGTGAATCTCACGTGTGTGATGACGTCCTGGAGCTCCAGGGTCAAGCTGTCGAACAAGTGACTTTTGCCGGCGGACAGCTGAAAGAGAGGCAGGGAGCGGTCCTTGTGATAACGCAGAGTGAGGCCCAGACCGGCCGGCGTGGACTCAGGGCCCATGACCCAGGCCAGTTACTCACTGATAACAGGCCGGCTTACCACAGAGAAAGGCCAGCAGGGGTCAAAAGCCCAGGTAATGCTAACATGAACACTCGGGTCCATGATGTTCGTGGTTCTCAGTGGTTAATTAAGCGGATACACCGATAAGAAAAAGAAAGTGAGAAGTGGGCATATTGGTGCCTCCCAGAGGCCATCACCCATCACCACGCGGGAGCACCCCTCACCCCCCACTCTGACCCACAAAGGACTGTCCTTCTACTGGAGCAAAGAGGACACTTCTGGAACATCTCCGCGTCCACCTCACAAGAGGACACGTTGTTATAGCTTTAGCTTTAAATATATTAGTCACCCCTTCTAGAAAGTCAATACGCTGCAGAAACATTTTCCACACATACATATGTCCTTTGTACATGATGGTTTAAAACAAAACTTGGTTGTTAGAAATGCACACAAATGAAAGACTAGAGCCTGTCTTTCTATTACATAAATGCACAGATACGGTTTTTAGAAGCTTGTGCGTCTTACTATTTAATCTGAGCAGAAGGTTTGGAAAGGAAATCTGAGCAAAGCGGCCCCGACGGCGGGTCTGGCCTTCCCCGGGTCCCCGTGGGCACCATACCTTCGTGACGGGAAGCAGCGGTTTCCACTTATGGCCCGGAAGCTCCCACTTCTGCCTGATCATGTCTTCCTCCTCCTGAGTCGTCAGGATGCAGCCGTCCAGCTTACAGCTGTCGGGCGAATTGCCTGTCGGGACAAATTCAGGGTCACTTCCTCCACTCTGCTTGCCCTCGGCAGTTTGGCTGACTTTTTAATCAACTCAAAGACCCAGCAAAGGACAAATCGTTGTTCTCTCTGAAGAAAAGCAAAGGCAGGACGCATGTGAGAGAAGGAACGTACCCATCTGTGACGGAGGTGGATTGCCTGACGCAACATGCGGGAGTTCATTTTTCAGAGGAATCAAAATCCGCTCGATGCAAAGGGCCGGCACCTTTGAATTTGCGTGTACGGCATTTTACTTGGGAAGTGGAAGGTACCTGATAAGCATCCCTGATTGCAGCGTTAATTACTTGCACACTGCTATGTGGCTCATCCCAGACTATCGGGAGGCTGGAAGACACTTTCCTTACCGCACCGCATTGCGCCATGTGAAACAAAAAGAAAGACCGAGCCAAGTTAACCAGCCGGAGCTTGGCCTCGACCCCACATGTCGTCTTCCACGTGTGCTACGCCTTCACCCAGTAACACATGTGGTCCTGAGTCTCTCTCCTCTCTGGAATTTCCTCAGAATCGTGCCCAGTGGGGTTAGGAGACCTCAGGGGAAGGGTCCCACACTCTTCGCGGGGAGAACTGCTGTAGGGGTGTCTAAGACTTTCAGATCAACAGAGGAGGGGGTTCTGATCACAGGAAAAAAATACTCAGTGCTCCCATGCCCCTTGCGGCACATCTCTTAAGACGGTGACCTCCAAGGTGCAAGCACGCTGCTGAGGGCACATGAAAACCCGAAAGATGTGGGAGGAGGACACGAAAGCCGCTATTTCTGTTTCTGTTTCTTCAGTATCTACACACATACATGCATATCTGTTAGGTTTCACGTACGTGAGATTACAGCTGGGGTCGGCACGCCTCTCTGGCCGCGACTGTGCTCGTGCTGTGATGGATAGAACTGAGAGGGCCGACAGCAAATTCAGGACGGCGCGGCCCGGGCTCCCTGGTTACGTGCACGTACTGGCCGTTCCCGGGCTCTAACTAAACTATCACTCACAAAATTAGCAAGCGATTTACATCATCCACGCAGAGACCCACGGACTGAAGATACCGCCAGAAACACAAGCACCCAGGAACCACAAGAAAATAGCAGGACCCAAGATGAGCTGTTCGTTGGCTGTGTGGAAAAGTGAAAGCAGTGACCTGCTAATCAGATCTGAAATAGTCTTCCAGGGGCGCCCGGGCGGCTCAGTCGGTTGAGCGTCCCAACTTCGGCTCAGGTCACGATCTCACGGTTCGTGAGCTTGAGCCCTGCGTCGGGCTCTGTGCTGACAGCTCAGAGCCTGGAGCCTGCTTCGGATTCTGTGTCTCCCTCTCTCTCTGCTCCTCCCCTGCTCACACAGGGTCTCTCTCTCTCTCTCAAAAATAAATAAAGATTTTTTTAAAATTTTTTTACATAAATAAATAAAATAGTCTTCCAAAATTAGGTCACAATCATCCATACTGTGCCTTAAAATAATTAACTTAAATCCACTACCACTGAAGAAGAACCTTGCCTTAAACATATACTGTGCCTTGGTGCAGTCGTTAGTAATCGCATGAGGCCACGATGATTCACAAGACATTTAAACATCAGGCATCCAAGGTATGAATATAAACTGCCACCGCTTACTGAGACAAGTAAGCAGTCGGGAAACATCCAGTCCAGCACTTATCGAAATTTCACCCGACCATTATAAAGGTTTAATAACCCCTCTTGAACTGTGTCCGTAAAATGACACAGGTGTATATTTCAGAAGAAAGTAGGTTTCAAATGCCAGCGGCACTTGTCCGAATATGTTTTTACTAATAGCACACTTTTGAAAACGTGTAGCTCCCTGCCGTACAAGTCCACCCTGGACGGGAAATGCCCCCCCCCACCAATCTCCCTAGTCCCTCCGCCCCCCCAATGAGAATACACCCCCATCCAGTTCTTCTGGAGGGGACTAACCAGGAACGACTGCACAGGCTCTTTCCAAATGAGATTCGGGACCCCTATAGTGAAGAGTCTTAGAGCATCACAGAATCTCGGATGACTCCGGGGGGTGACCCAGCTCAACTCTGACATTTTACAAAGGGGGAAGTGGGCCCGCAGAGCTAAAGGAAGTTGCTCAAAACTGCACACCCGGAGAGTGCAAAAGCCAAGTGCCGAGCCCACCGTCCTGAGCCCCACGCCCACAGACCACGTCATCTGCGTGGTCTGCGTTACCAGCACGCAGGTTCTGTGCGCTGCCTGATGGTTCTACATTCACCTTTAAAATACGTCGTATCGATTTCAATTTGAGTGATCACTCCAGGATGTGCCAGCCGGAAGACTGCCCATTCGCAACCCGGAACAAGGAGACTACCATTCTCGTCATTCTGGGATTCAAAAGGAAAAAGAATAAAAAGAAGCCAGCTTGAGGCCACTCAGGAAACGAATTCTGAAAACAGCGAGTGAAAAACGTCGACATGTGCTGATGACATTTCTTTTATTTCTTACTACGGAAGAGCGTCTCCTATGCCCCGGTATGTAAATTACTTTCTGTGTTAATTGCCCCCTTGTCTATTATTCCTTAAATGCCTCATGTGGACTCAGGAGCTTATTGAGTAATTGCTACGTTTTTATAAATTTCTGATGTGATTTTCTATGTCGACTGTAAATCTGTGTAGAATGAGACACACAGAAGGGTCTGTATCCAACCCAGCCCCTAGGTACGCTAATCAATTCGTTTCGACCTTTCAAAGTAGATACGTTCTTGGTCAAATCTATACCACTGTGTAATCTGCCTCCAAACTTAGTTTCTGGCAATGGGAGTCGTCCGCTTCCCATTGGAAGCGTTGGCTGACACGGAGGCTAACCCAAGAGAGGGGTGTTGTCCGGGGAAGTTTTCAGTGGGGTTGACAAATTGCAAGGTGTTTTGTTTTGCTTTTGTTTTGACTTTCTTATCTCACATTAGTTACTAGGCAAACTGAACAGCTGAGC